CCCCCAAAACCCCAAAACCCCAAAACCCCAAGTGAGTGAAGATAAATAGAAATTAAGATTTTATGATATTTCTATAGTAGAGTTGAAGGGTTTTGACTATCTTTGTATAAATATTTTGTAGACATCAGTGGATTCTAAAGCTGGTCCCAGAAAATAGCAAATTAAATTGAGTATTTTAGATGATAAGATTATTCAAGGGTTTATGGTTTGGGTACAAGTTAGGGCAAAAGTTTAGAAATTATTAAATAGGCTTGCCAAAATTACAAAATATTGTAAAGTAAGAATGAGTCCAAATTAATTTATCAGCATTAAAAGTTGTGTCTGTCATATGTGAAATTGGATGTTGTTTAAATTGAAATATTAAATAGAGTGGTCCAATATCTCAACATGTTCTAAACCATACTTTCCCAAAGTTGTTTGGACATTGATTTTAGTCATTCCTCATTCCATTAGTCCGATTTTCTTGATTTCTTGTTTGAAATGTGCTGATCTAGAAAGTCCTTCAATTAAGTTAGTAAATCTTTTTGGATGGTTCTTCCAATCTGAGTATTCAGGTTGACCTCAACCATTAAAACAAAGATATTCAATGATTGATCAATCAAGAGAGTTTCCAAAGTCAGGGATCGAGTCTAGTTCAAGTTTGCAACATCGAAATCCAAAATAAGTTTTGCTCTGTTTGGGAATCTGAAATATTCTCTTCATTTGAATTTGGCTTATTTCAAAGTTATAAATTCACAAACTTCTCATTATTCTAGGATTCAAATATCAGAGGACGACAATAATTTCATCGCAATTGTGCATTCTTCCTCCAAAATTTAATTGAAAATTCTGAACTGAGAGAGGAAAAGAAGAAAATAAAAATCCTTTTGCAACTTCCAAGTTTTCTTGTATTTTATCTATTGCTAAGCTTTCAAGATTTGGAACAATCTTGCCTCCAAAACATTTAACAAATCCGATGTCTTTTTCATCATCAAATTCAAGTATAAACCTTTTGCTGGCCTCAATATCCTGGTTATTTTTAGTAATCAAATTGTAGCATTTCTCAAGCCCCTGTAGTGTTGATGGATTCATCAATGATTTGGCTCTCTGTTTCAATTCAACAAGTTCTTTCTGCAGCTCTCTATAATATTTGGTTTTCTTGTTGCCGGCTCTTAAATCTAAGTCCATTTCTGATGCTCCATTGTTCTCAATTCCTAAAATATAGTCTACTTTGCTTTTATCAGCCTCAAGGTAGTCTCACATGAGGTGAGTGTAGTTCACCACACAGAACTGCTTGAACCCTTCTTCGTTCCTCAACTGAAGGTAAATGTCTTTGATTTTGGCTTTAATGATTTGAAAGTTCGCGAGTTCCTCATTTAATTTGAACTTTGCAATGTCATCTGAAATGTCTTGCATTTGGGTTTGCAACTGCTGAGACAAGTGAATAGATTCTTGCATATCTCCTCTATTCTTCTGAAATTCTACCGCAACTTGAAAGTTTTTATTACATGACTGGGTCACGGCAAGAGTCTGTTCGAGATCTCCAATTGATTCCATTTTAACCCAGTTTTCTTTACTGTTTAGCTCATAATGATTAGCACAGAAGTGGAGCTTCAGTTCTTTTTGGTAATAACTGGCTTTGTTCTCTCAGTCTCTTGCAACACAAATGCTGTTTGACTCCATGAGGTATGATATCCTTGCTTAGTTCTTTGAAATCTATTGCAAGGTCAGCTCCAAAATTAAACTTGAAATTACAAAGTTTCAATATTTAAAAACTTTAAGGGGTTTTGGGGTTTTGGGGTTTTGGGGTTTTGGGG